CGTAGAGTCGAACTATAATGCCCACTTACTTGTGAGCCGAGGCCACTACCGCCGCCCTTTTTCATTTCCTATAACTAAGTTCAGAGTATCGTTTAGCAGATGGGAAGCAGTTCTGAGCCCTGCTTCTGGAAGCTAAGGTTTCTACCGTATTTCATTTGGTCAGATTGACTTGTTGACCATCCCTTGTAAGTGAGATATGGTCCACTCAGTGTGTCTCTAGTGTATACTCTGATGGTGAGATACACGACAGGAAGCCCACCGCGCGGCGAGAAGGCAGAGACGCAGACGGTCAGCGGACGAGTCGCAGCGCGTGCTGTGTGATGTGGGACGTACTGTAGTACATTCTATTGAACTTGACGCGAAATCACTGCAGTACGCGCTGCGACTCGTCCGCTGACCCCTCTGCGTCTCTGCCTTCTCGCTGCGCGATGGACCTCCTGTCGGGTACCCGTACGCTCTGGTTTTTGGTGTATATCTACTGGGCGTCTGTCGGCACTTAGCGGCCACAACTGTGATAATCACTCCATTAGAACGGAATATCATTCAAAACTTCATTTGGCACTTCAATTTCAAGGAACGTTATACATTTACACCCGTAAATTGACTAAAGCACATAGCTAGCGTTTCTGATGGCTACGATCCTAAGCATCATCGGCAGCGAGTTGATACACCGTCTGAGAGGTCATGATAATAACCGAGATTATGGGAGAACCCGTTATGAGCGAAATTTCTCGTCCATCGGATACGAGGGAACAGTCGAGCTGTCGCAATCATCACATCGTTTCGTGGAGCGGAGGGTGAAGAACAGGAGTGGCAGGAAGAAGAACGTCGCGAAAACCCAACTGCACAACGTCAGCACTATCAGGAAGACACCGACCTGAAAGGGTAGCACTCTAAAAGGGTCCTCAAAAAATCAATGAAAAAAGGTACCTGGGAGAAAGCGTGCGTCTGAGAGAACAGCATGGATGCCCCGGCGAGGAACGAGGTGGAGGCGGACAGGGACACGGGTACGGCAGCAAGTTGTGCGGCCCGTTGAATTCGATGGGATTTGCAGCCGGTTTTGGGCAACGCGGCTCCGAAGTGCAGCGTGTAGTCGAACGAGAGGCCAACGACGAGCACCAGAATGACCGCCTCGAGCACTCCGATTTCCCAACCCAGCAACGTGACACATCCCACCGAACAGGCGATGATGCACGCGCACGTGATCACTGCGGGTATCGCCTGGAAGACGAAGATCTATACATTTTATTTGTAAAAAAATCCGGTGATCGTGTCGTTAGGGAGGGGGGATATCC